TCGAAGTTGTATTTCAATGCAATTAGGTGCACAGCTTCTTGCAAATCTTTCTTCGTTTCAAACAGTTGCTTGACATACAAATCCTTATTATCAGGAACCACACGTGAGGAGTTAGAGGACGGTCCACTCGATCTAGCCCCCGAGGTGCCACCCCACTCATGTCTCTGCTGGGATAAAGCAATCAAGTCCTCGTTCGTAAAAGTATTTGCATTTTCATTCTCGTTGTCACGAGCAGCGGAAGGAATTCTATGTGCAACTATCTCTGCAATAACCACATCATTTTTACGAGCTATCTCCATCGTATCTCAAAAATCATTAACATTGTGATCCCCACCTCTCGAGTCTACTTGTTAATTTTCGACGACATCCTTCCTTACAAAAATCACGCAAAGAGGAGTCGTGTGCTTATTGTTCAATTCAATCAGATAATTCACTTCATCAACAGAAGAAATCATTATAGGTGGAATCGGAACTGATGCATGCTCGCTGAATTTAAATTTCAATTCCATGTTGTACCGAGAAGGATCAACATTCAACTTGTTCTGTAAATCATTATAGAGTTATGCATACAATGTACCTAATGATATGGAAATTGCGATACCACCACGTTTATGACTTGCCATTTTCATACCCATTGATCTCTTTCGTCCAATTCGAAATCACCAAAGTAACAAATTGGGACTATAACCATATCTGCATGTTGAAACAGAATTTTTAATTACAAGAAAAATATCAACAGCAATAAAAATAACCCAAAAAAGGGGGAAAAAAGAAAATAATCAGCTGTTTGGCCGACTGTTAAACAGCCGGTCAAACGGTCGATTCACCGGCGCCGGTATAAATATGCAGATGAATCTTTTCTGGTCAAATACTTAAAAAATTACATATCTATTAAATTTTTTTTTACTAATCATTAAATGTCGAAATACAATTTATCGATTTAAACATACAATAATTTAACGAAAACAAGATTAAATTTGCGTATATAAAGTTATCGAACTGACGAGATTGATGTCCACAAATTTTTCGACTTTCGATTTCGATAAATTTTTAAGTTTCTGCAGTTGAAGCAGATGAAGGATAAGAGTGTTTTATTGATGTCTACAAATTTTTCGACTTTCGATTTCGATAAATTTTTAAGTTTCTGCAGTTGAAGCAGATGAAGGATGAGAGTGTTTTATTTATCTGTGTTGGAGTAAAGAAATAAGAAATGTAGGAAGTGTTTGATTTCGACTTCCGATTTCGATAAATTTTTAAGTTTCTGCAGTTGAAGCAGATAAAGGATGAGAGTGTTTTATTTATCTGCGTTGGAATAAACAAATAAGAAATGTACGAAGTGTTTGATTTTTATTTGTTAAGTAGAAGGGTATTCATGTCTTTTAAAAAAATCAGCTCTTGTAATTGTATAATGAATTTAAAGTTATTTTTGTCATTTAACATTGGATAAGCCATTTCATAATATCCCTTTGTTAAGAAGTCAATGTGAAATTTAGATAATTTGACCAGATTAATTTTAAAAGTACCCATGGATGGATTGATGGATCCGGCCCAATCCACGCGACGACAGAGACCTGAGAGCGGATGGTGAAAAATGAAAATAGTATTCTCCACTGTTAACGTAATGGAAGATGCTGAAACTTGAAAGTCATCTATGTCCAGGAAAACCTGCAACATGTCCGGGGAATGGCTTAATTGCCTTCACAAGAATCAATTAATGTTACCAGTGGAAGCATTTCCATGTTCTGTGCAATTCATTTTCTATTTTAGTTCCTGCTTTTATACTTTCGATTATTTTAAAATTGATTTTCTTGTTTCTTTAATAGAGTGTTGCGTGTATGATTGAATATTGAGTGGTTTGCGTGTTTAATTAATCAATGCGCACATGTGCATATTCTAATACGTTGTGTCCATTATTCAATAGAATTCAGCATTTTTTGTTTATGTGGCTCAGTCATTTATACATAGATCAGATGCCCCAAACTTCTAGGGCTGGAAAGTATTTGGGATTGCTTCGTACGAATCGTATGGCTCTGCTTAACCACTGAATGATTAAGTGAGGAAATATTGTTCATGCGCGGATTGTCAGTTGTAATGTTGAACATGGTATTAGCCTATTAGCTTCATATCGCATTGCTCATTTTAAAATGAAAGAGGGCTGGACAATTAATCTCCTAGGACTGAACATATCATTTGCATAAATTGGCTTCCATCGATTTATATAAATAGGGGACTTGCATTTTTCTGCGAAGATTCAGGACCTTAGCAATGTCATTTCAGCTAGGATTTAGTTGTCAGGATTATAAAGATTCAAGCATTTGAATACGCGGCAATTATCTAGCTTTAAGGAGAGATGGTTCTTTCTCTTGCTGATTAATAAACAGAAGTGACACTACACTTTTGATAAGTTTAGTTTTTGAACCCACATTGTATATGCTTAATAAAAAACAGGGAATTGATTATTGAATTGTACCATGTTGAATATTTTAGCTCAGAAACCTGATCTTTGGTTCCCTGTAATTGTTTCAAGAACTAGTATTCTGGAGTAGGATACTTAATCTTGATTTTATTACGAATTTGTTTGGGAGTGATTTTGAAAATTAATTTTTTGATCATTAAGAGAAAAGTGGGATCCACATGTGAGAGAAAAAGTCAAATATGACGACTGTAATAGTGAAATAACGATCAAAAAATCAATTTTTGGGGTGAAAAAATCTGACCCAAACAGGCCCTATGTGAAGAAACAGAAGATAAAGAAATCTAAATAGCAAATCAACATTTGAGTCAAGGCAGTCTGGAAACTTCTATGGTCATCCAGTTAAAGTTGAAAGGCTACAATGTCCTAACCTGGGGGGCTAACTTGTTACGCTTGATATAAATGGTGATGTAACCTTCTCCGCACCTTTTCTAGACAATTGCTCCTTGGAGTTAGCCTAATGTGTCAAATTGTGTAAGTCCAAGTCCTATTAAATGCTGCGACCATATTAATCTTTTTCTGAGATGCATGAAGTAATATTGTATCTCATGCAATATTATTTTGACGTGTTTCCTTGGTACATAATTCTTTTTCATTTTTTTTTTTTTCTGTCTTGTATGTGGAACTTAAATTGCCCCCCCCCCCCCCTTTTTTTGGGAAAATAGATTTTATAATAGTGATTTTTTGAAAAATGTGTGATTAATGTGTGATCGAAAACGAGCTCGAAAAAAAATGAATTTAAAAGAATGAGGCTCAAACTGGAGCTAAAGTGCATCAGGTTTCTTTCTATATTAATCTTCTAGGGTGATCCCTTGACATGATTGATGTGTAAGTTCCATGAGAGAAAGATTGCTTAATTCAATCAAGATCACGAAAGATGCTGGTTTGTCCAAGCTGTCTGTGTGGAGGCACACTGGAATTTAAAAATGTTCTATTTCAATGGTGGCATCATTTCACTTATGGATGAGTTGAACAAAACAACTCGAAACGGTAAAAGTTCACAAGTGACTGAAAGAAACAAAAAAAATAAATAAAATTCCCGTACACATGTTTTTACCCTTTTTCTCCTTCTCGGTGGGATTGGGGAGGAGGGGGTATGTTAGAGATGGCAAATTGACTCGCCGCCCGTGGCTCAGCCCGGAAAATGCCCGAGTCAACCCTTCTGGGCCGCAGGTCGGCTAAAAAAAAATGCAGTTTCCTTCATTAAAAAAGAAAAAGAAAAAAGAAAAAAGAAAAAACAGAAGGTCCGAGCTGAAAGCTCGGGTCAAGCCTCGATTTTTTGGCAGAGAAAGGTCGACTTAAAAAACTTAAGTCGAGCACGAGCCTCGAGTTTCGACTCGACTCGTTGACATCCCTAGGGTATGTTGAAAATTGACACATTTATTTATTTAAATTTAGTCTTCAACATACTCCCTTATGTCCAAGCCANTTGACATCCCTAGGGTATGTTGAAAATTGACACATTTATTTATTTAAATTTAGTCTTCAACATACTCCCTTATGTCCAAGCCAAATTCATTCTTTATCAAATGCCTAATATGACCTGAGTGGACATCTTCTTAGTTTCATATATGATTGCACTCCTCATCTAAAATCTAACTGCTAGAGATGAGACAAATGTATTTATTAAAATTTAGTCTTCAACACGGGATGGGCTAAAGGGGATGATGACTCATGGGCCATTATGGTCAGATGATAAAATACAAAAATTTGGAAGGATGGAAAATGCAGAAAAACCCAACTTAAAGCAGACTTAATACATAAATCTTCCTATGTTCCGTTTTCCCATTCCTCCAAAAAAACATATGCACATTTGAACAACTAAAAAGAGGAATGTGAGGCAAGTATAAACATCTTAAATTTGTGAAGGTAGTGATGATTGGAAATGCATTGAAGAGAGCATATGACCAAAGTGAGCGATTATGCATTTCGTGTTCAACAATCTATACTAAAGACAAAAGCTTATTACATCCTTTGGATCAGCTGGAAACAATGTTAGTTTAAGCTTTTGTACTGAATTCTTCCCTTCTCATCAATGGTATGTTGGTTTGATACTTTTTGGATCTTCTCCTTAATCATCATGATTGAAACTTATTATTTTCATTGTCATTAGGAACTATTCCTGATTGTCCAGCGTAAAGCTTATAATTCAGAATTATTGTTGCTTTAACTAGAACTATACATAATCATCATCCTGTGAAGAAATTGCTGTCAACTGCTGAAAGGAGTTAGTATGTTACTTGAAATATGATGGGTTACTGCTTCCTCTGTGTTGTTTTGGTGGTTGGTATGTCTTTGCTTTAAAGCAAGGAACTCTACAGTATATGAACTTATAGAAAGGAACATAGTACATTATTGTAAAAAATGTCTTACACATAGTATTGTGTTCTGATTATGTTCGGAGTAAACTAAATAACTCTTCAAAAATTATTCTCAGAAGAGTCCAAATTGTCAAATTTTATCAAATTTTATGTTTTTGACTTCAAAGATGCCAAAAGAAAAAAAAAAAAAATCACTTCCAAGTCTGGCAAGCTCCAAGTTGCCCATATCTTTATAATGATGACATTCTATAATGGCTGCTCATAAAGGCTGCCTTAGCTGTCACTTCCTCTCCTATAATGTTTACATATAAATTTAATAGCAAATGGAAATACTGTAGAAATACTTGTGCTTAAAAGATATTTCTGCTTCTAACTGAGCTGTTATTATAAAGTCAAGTGAGAGATTAGAGATATAAGGTAACCGTAACACAGAATGATGGCTTAACTTCTTCTGGGGCTATATATAATGCCTGTATGCTAATTAGTGTAAATTTCTTTTCCATATAATTTTTGATAAATTGTTTATATAATTGCCAAACCCCAGTGGAAAAGCCACCATTTTTTGTTTTCTAAAAATGATTCCTGAATCTGAAACACTCTTAGAACTCCCTGTATTAGATGTTTCTCAGCAATTGTGCCCATCTTCTTTGTCCTCTTTGGCTGCAGCCTGCAAAGAGTGGGGTTTCTTCCAAATCATTAATCATGGAATCTCCAAAGATCTTTACAACAAAATTTGCACTCACTCAAAAAGCATTTTCAGCCTCCCTATCGAGACAAAAATTAAACTAGGTCCTTTATCACCATATAAGACTTACACTCCTCATTTCATAGCCTCGCCCTTTTTTGAGAGCCTTAGAGTTTCAGGACCAGACTTCACAGATTCTGCTCAGAGTTCTGTAGAAGTTCTCATTGGTGAACATGATTCTGAATTCAGGTGAGGCTTTTTATGGAAACGATCTCTTTTCTAATACTTATGCATGCTTTTTTCCATGTTAAGAGACAAATACCTTGAAAACTTGATTAATCTTTTGTCTTTGCAGTGAGGTATTGCAAGAATATGGGAGCAAAATGTCTGAGTTATCTAAGGGAGTCCTTAAGCTCGTATTAAGAACTATAGGAGCTGGAATTGAGACAAAATATTATAATTCTGAGTTTAAGAATTGCCATGGATATTTGAGAATAAACAACTATATGGCTCCAGAGAGTTCAGACGAAGAAGCTGAGGGTCTTGGAATGCATACTGATATGAGCTGTGTGACAATCGTTTATCAAGATGAAATAGGAGGACTTCAAGTGCGATCAAAGGATGGAAAATGGATGAACATCGTCCCATCTGAAGAAACCCTAGTGGTAAATATTGGTGACATGTTGCAAGCTTGGAGCAATGAACAACTGAGATCATCGGAGCATAGGGTTGTTTTGAAGAAACGCGTGAATCGTTTCTCTCTAGCTTTCTTCTGGTGCTTTGAGGACGAGAAAGAGGTGTTGGCACCTGATGAAGTTGTGGGTGATGGAAACAAAAGGATTTACGGGCCATTTGTCTGTTCAGACTATTTAAAGTTCCGTGAGAGCAACGAGAAAGGTAGGTTTGAGAAAGTTGGATTTACAGTTAAAGATTTTGCTGGGATTGGATTTCCAATGTAAAAGCCTGAATTTGGTGCTTGTTGCATAGCATCTACACAGTTCATCCAATCATCAGGCTAGGCTTAGAGTAGGATATTGCATTGTGAAAAGCATTTTGTATCTAGTTGGTTTGTCATAATATGTGCTAAAAATAATTGCTTGTGTACTCCGATTGGAGAGCAATCAA